GAAAAATATACCAGAAAATTTTGTACGAAATTATCTTTTCTATTACAAGACCTGAAATTAAAAATTCCATGCTAAATGGAACACTTAAATGAGTTTATACTTGGATTTCGGTGAGACACATATACTGAAAAACCTCCTCAACCAAGGTAGACTGAGGTCTTGACCTCGTAAAGATCTCATTGCAACCCTTAAAGAGATTCAACTCCAGGTCGTAAGCTAAAAAAGTCAATACATGAACAAACGAAATTAAATATATGAAGACCAAGATGTTGTAGCCCCTGTTATCAAGTCCACTATCAGATGCTGGGAATCATGACAACTACTATGGCAGACGACATCGGACTAGGTGCGTTCTACATAGTCTCCCTGACCACAAGGCCAAGTTGCGACAACGAATTCAACCCACTTCTAAACGAAATTAAATTATCAATGATCTAGTAGTTAGAGAGCATTGTCTCTAACTAACATGAATAGATGTGAATGATTTTGGTCTGAATGATGCTTCACTTTCTTGAATTTAGTGAATTCGCTCTGAATCATAAATTGTACTCACGTAGGTTAGCCAACTAGTCCTAACAAGTTGCAGACGATATACTAAAAGAAAACAATATTTTCAAATAGTATTTGGCAGCAAAAATTAATCAAGTTCTTCAGGCACGAAGTGTACATGACTTAGGTCACCTATCAAAATATTATAATAAAAAATAATGTCGTGAAAACAAGAAATAACATCTACCGTTATATAAATTAACAGTAGGTGCATGGCATGATAAAATTTGTCCTTTGCAAGCTGATACTGTGGTTGTAAAATTCACACAAAAAGTATAAAGGGTTACCTATGAAGTAATAAACACATAAGAAATGGATGAATAGAGTGTAAGTGAATACAAATAGTGTCGTGTTCTAGATAAGTCGAAAAGATTTGGGTGCTGTTAATGCTACTTTAAGGTGAGTAAGAGACACTTGCCATGGCGCCAAGCTTGATTGCTTGAGAGCATAGTTTTAACTACCAAGAAGTTGATGAATATATATTTTGACTCTTAAATCAAGGGGAACAGGCAAATGGAATAGTTCTGCTAGCCTGTAAAGCCTAAAGCTGTTTATTTTACAGCTTGTCTAAAATAAAAGTGTCGGTGAAAAATTTGCTTGAAAATAGAAGAAATTTGCTAATATAAATTAGACACTGATTCACCAGTCCGTAGAATATACCTACAATTGGGTCACATGTAAGATATGACTTTAAATACAAGACAGGCCTCGCCCAATTCTCATTTTTACATGGAGATTGTCGACGAGACACACTTAGATTTTCGATTACTCTATGCTACATTACTACATATTAAACAAATATGTTTCGAAAATATCATTCTATTTTGAATAGGAGATCAAGTACTTATTCAGATAATGACTAGAAAGTAGTACGCATAGGCAGCAATCCGGTTCCCTAGCGCTGCTACTAATCATTTATACAAAATAGTGAAAATTAAGGAAGAAAACAAAACTAACAGCGAGAAAATAAATACATTTGGAAGTTTATGCTTATTTGTCAGAGCAGTTGATGTGGCCTAGCCAGAAGATGCTCAAGAGTCCGAATACAGAGTCACAGAGGCAAAATAGCTGGTACAAAATATTATTTGATCTAAATTCTTCCAGTTGGTCCACAATGCCTAATTTATGCATAATGTTTCGTG